TAAATCCTCAGTTTGTGTTGTTCAAAACATTTTAGTAAGATTGGGATAGCCTACTTTTGATAAAAAAAAAAAAACTTAAAAAAAAACTGGATTATTCTGATTGAACCCATCAGAAGGGTGGGTTTCAGGAACAAAAATGTAATAAAACTTCAAAACTGACCCAAAAAGTACAACAATTGTAACATGTAATATATCCTTGATAAAAAAAAAAAAAAAACTGGATTATTCTGAATGAACCCATCAGAAGGGTGGGTTTCAGGAACAAAAATGTAATAAAACTTCAAAACTGACCCAAAAAGTACAACAATTGTAACATGTAATATATCTACAAATCCCCAAACAGCTGCCAATGTCAAACTAAAGTATATTTAATTTAAAGTTGTTGTTTTCTGATTGTAATGATTGTAAATCACTGATTGTAAACTACATAGTAGTTACAGTAGTTATTTGTGTAAATGCAATGCAAAACATTGGCATTTTGTCCCCCCCCCAATCACCATGTCCCTTTAGGGGCTCCGCAGAGCACTCTAGATTTGGAAATCTGAAAAAGTGTGTAGCCTATCTGGATCAGGGTTATCCAATCCAATTTTGCTTTGAAAAACCGGCACAAAAGTAAGATGGGTGACCTGATCCTGGATAGCAAAACGTGGGGTTTCCAAATCCAGATCATTCTGATCCAGATTAAACTTTTTGAACAACTGGCCCATCCTGCTATGCCTCTATCGCCCAAACATGGTATTGACTTCCGTGTTTACGACAGTCTGTGTGCCGGTGTTCATTTACGGCAGGCAGTGCGGGCACATGTGTTTCCAGAGTCAACAGCGTGCTCATTGATAGTCCAGCTAACCATATTTAAAGGTAAATTGTGCTTTTCGCTTTTTAGTTCGAGTTTCACAGTAACATATGTTTGAGTAGAATACTTTAACATGGTATTGGTATTATTTGCCTATATTTTTTCGCACGCAGGACTCGGGAGTATTAGCTATGCTAAAAGGCTAACCTCCTTAACGTTAGTTAACCATGCTCGACTCGACAGTATTCCACTACCAGGGCTGTTATTTCTTTCCTGAATGTTTACGATTATGGTTTATTATAAGGAAGTTTATTATTATTATTATTTTTTAATCCTAAAACTATTTGCATTAAACCTGGAGATGCAGTCTTTTCTTTCAGGGTTAATTTCGCTCACGATGATCAAACTTCATTTTGATTTCTCGTCGTTAAGCTTTATGTTGTTCTAAATAGCCAGAGATTGGTTTCTTTACCCGTTTTTATACAGTCTGTGGTTTTTACAGGTTCTCTGTCATGTCATTCCGTGGGGGTGGTGGTCGAGGAGGGGGTCGTGGCGGTGGTTTTAACAGAGGTGGTGGTCGTGGAGGCGGATTTGGAGGGGGTCGAGGTGGCAGAGGTGGATTTAACAGATATCAAGACTTTGGCCCACCGGAATATGTTGTCGGTAAGGTGCCTTTGTTTTCTTTCATGCTTCTCTTTCTATTCAATTTACGTTCTAAAGATAGCGGTTGCGCTGCAAGACTGCATGTCAGGTTATAATTGGTATTCATGTTTTTCGTGTCTCAGCTGTGGGAGAGTTCATGCACCCCTGTGAGGATGATATTGTCTGTAAATGTGTGACGGACGACAATAAAGTCCCCTACTTCAACGCTCCTGTATACCTGGAAAACAAGGAGCAAATTGGAAAAGTGGACGAAATCTTTGGGCAACTTCGTGATTTTGTATCCTTACATGTTATTGCATGGGATCTTGACTGTGCTGTCAGATCTTACAAAGACTACACAACTTCATACTGACGTCCAGTTAAGGGTTCTTGTATAATTAACACTATTAAACCTGTTTTTGACGAATTTCAAAGGCCTCTAAATTATCAGCATGATCAAAACGTTGCTGAAAAAAACATCAACTGTTGTACACACAATAATACATGCCCTCTGAATTATAGTTCATATTTTTAGCAAGCTATTTCTCTTTAGCAAGCTATTTCTAATGTCTACTTTCAGGTTGTTGTGCACATCGTTTTGCTGTAAAATCTTTAAGGATTTTTAAAAGTGCAAAATTGTATACACAACTTATTAATATTTCAAAATGAATGCAAATGTTTTTAAATGTTTAGATGAATAATAATAAATCGTTAATTTGCAGGGTTGATGAATTAAATTTCATTAAATATGTAAGTAAGTCCTTAACAATTCCTCAGTATTTTTCAGTCAAACTTTCTGAAAATATGAAGGCATCCTCCTTCAAGAAGTTACAGAAGGTAAGTTCAGTCTTTTTGGTTTCCTAGATGTGTAGTGTTGGTTTGAACCTTGTTTTTTTTTGTTTTTTTTCAGTAGTAGGTGGGTAGTTGAAGTGTAGCATGTCTGTTAACTTAATTTTTTTGGATTAAATATGTAGGAATGTATTATGTAAAGTGACTATTTCTTGTCCCTTTTAATATTGTAACAACATTTATAGTAATTATGTGTGTGTGTGTGTGTGTCTGTGTGTGTGTTAGATTTAGGATCAGGGAATCTCAATCTCAAACTGTGTCAGAGTTTAATTAATTTAAGTGGGTACAGTATATAAAACATGACAAATATGGATTCAGTACTGTATATAAAAACAATGAAGGCATAATCTTTTAAGCAGTTATATTATTTTAAAGAACACCCCACCAGTTATCAGTGTTATTTCCAATATTAGACAATGATCAGTGGGTGTTCTTTTAAAATTATTCATAATTTTGTAGCAGATATTGCTTCGGAAAATCAAAGGGATTAAGAGCCTTCAAGCTATTTTTTTGCAGCTTCCTTTGGCTGTTCTGACTCTTATCAGTACACTAGGATGTGACTTACAGTATTATGCAGATATTTTTAATTTATTTTTCTCTTTCTCTCCTCTTGCATCAGTTCTACATTGACCCTATGAAGCTGCTGCCCCTCCAGAGATTCCTCCCTAGGCCTCCAGGTGAGAAGGGGCCACCCCGTGGAGGTAGAGGAGGAGGAAGAGGTGGGAGAGGAGGTAAGATCCCACAAGAAAATGGCATACATATGCTGATTGATTCCATTTGATCATTATCTCTGGTTTTAACCGCTATATAACTTAAACATTGTGGTTTACCTTTGAAGGTATAAACCCTAAAGTGAATGATGTATTTGCAGGTGGCTTCCGTGGAGGCCGTGGTGGCAATGGTGGTGGACGTGGAGGATTTGGTGGACGTGGAGGATTTGGTGGACGTGGAGGATTTGGCGGACGTGGAGGAGGAGGAGGTGGGGGAGGATTCAGAGGAGGCAGAGGTGGAGGCGGTGGACGTGGATTTAGAGGTAATTCGTTATATTGATCATCAGAAAATAATGATGAAATTGGATGAAAGTACTGAATTCAGTTTAATGGAAGAATATACAAAAATACATTTTGAATATACAGTAATGTTAAAAAGTTGGTATCCCCTTTTTTCTTTTTTTTTTTAAATGATCACCAATGCTGCATTTGCATAGAATCATTTACATAATCATCTACATTGAATAGCAGTGTATTATATGTGAACAATACATTATATCTGATCTGCTTTTTTCATTCAATTTAAAACATCTTCATTGTAGTAGGAGAAACACATCACATTTTTCCTACTTGCTTTGCAGGGGGAAGATGATGAAGGGCTCTCAGTATGGGATGTGTCCTTTCATCTGCTGGGGAGACTTCCAGTGAGAAGCCAGAAGCAGCATTCGGGGCCTAGTCTTTAGACTGTTAACTGATGCCTCTTTTGTACAGCTGAACTTTTTACTTGGTTTTGTTCCATATGTGTATTTTTTTTGGTATACTGATAGGGCTGATGTTTTAAGTTACCACATGCCGGTGTACAAAGAGGGCGAGTGTCTCCCCAACCTTGACTGGTTGGTTAGCATCCACTGATGGCTGGACCAGTATAGACTTGAATAACATCAAGGTTATGTAGTGTGACAAAATGGTCAAACCAAATCCTCAGATAATAATGTAAAAAATATTTTCATTGTTGGATTATAATGGATATTTGCATTTACAGAATAGCAATTTGTTTCATTTGAACTCCAGATGCCACCATGGACTTGCAAAATAAAATCGGTGGTATATTTACTGTACTTTTAACTTGGTCACCTTGTTTTTACTAATTCTACTGTGATTTACCAACATGTTTGTTCACAAATTCCAAACGAATCTGCTATTGCTCAAGTGTAGATACTGGGTTGTTGCAGCCTCTTTGAATGGGGGAGATTCCTGATTCTGCAAAGCTGTCAGAGACTGTTTATAAAAAGCAATGTGTAGTGTTATCAACAGCTGGACAAAATGTTTAGTCAGGGTTTTTCCCAGATTTTCAGTGTGGAACCAGACAGCATTGGGAAATTGTCTTGACTAATCTTGGAAAAGCAATGCTATGTCACTGATTACAGCTATGCATATTTATTTTTATTTTTTGAAAGATGTTACTAAATAGGATTTCCAAGTCTAATGTAAAAATAAGTGACAGCATTTCATATATTACGGAATGGCATTTTGGTAACTATATTCCACAGTTCCTAACTGATTTTGTGATTTTTATATAATACAAATACACCAACCTATTTGAACTACTGCAAGTTTAAACTATGCTGATAGTTATGCATGTGGATTGGGGACAATGAAAAGCTACATGACATAAAGTTCCATTTCCAGCCACTGTGCCCACTGTCCAGTTATATTTTGTGAGAGGACGTTCTTGCAATCTCCCTTTAATAATAAGGCGAATCGTACTTTTTTTTTAGGAGAAAAAAAAATGTTTTAGCATAATGTTTTTGTATATGGTAATCCATATAACTAATTACATATTTACAGTGTACATGCATCATGCTTTGACAGCCAATTTTTATTTATTATTTAACAATTCATCAGATAAATCGTTTAATAACAGACCATTAAAATGCAAAAGCGCTGCTTGCGCTGAGAAAAACAACGAACTTTGCTCAAGCGTAGCCACATCGTGGTCTCTCATTGGTTGAAAAGGGAGTTCTTCAGTTTGCCACACCCCTCCTTCCCTTCCTCGTGGTGGTGGAAGAAAAGCATGGACACAACTGGGAAAGTAGGTTTGCAGCGAAATTTGCTCTCCTCTCACCCTTTGAACTACGTAAAGTATTTACAGTGTGCATTTGGGCGCGTTTAATGTACGTAATTTTGCAGTATTTGTGGAAAAATCTTGCGTGTCGAGACGTTCAATTCAAAACGTTTTCAAATATATAGCAGCACTTGTGAATGTGCGTGACAGGAGTGAGCGCAGATCTAGCTAGGCATACAAAGATCCATTGTGCTGCTTTGACCTGTTTTCTGTATGCATTAAAGATCAGAAACATGTTAGTCTAATCTCTTTATTTTTGCATTAAACATAGATTTATTACAACATGTAAATAGAGATTCACTGTATATTGGGCCGGTTTTCCTATACTGTACATTAACTATTAAAAATCACATGGTTTTGTGCGTCTAACTGCTTCTCGAACTGCACTGTATCTGTATAAAATCATCCAGAGCAGTACTTTACATAATCTTCATTTTATTGGGAAAAGGAGTTAGCAAAACTTTACTTCTAAAATGATGAACTGATATCTTCTCAATTCATCCTCAGGTGATCAAATGCAAGGCAGCAGTGGCCTGGGAGGCTGGTAAGCCTCTTTCCATTGAGGAAGTGGAAGTAGCTCCACCTAAGGCCCATGAAGTTCGAGTGAAGGTAAACCATTAATCTGAACATTGCACCTCTTGACAAAATATGTGCATAGAGTGTAGATGACACAAAGTACCTTGGCTAAAGTTGTAGCAAACCGTCTTGCAGCTGCACCCTTTCAAAGCACCATGTTTTGTGACAGATTTACACCGGGCAGGTGCACCGATGTTCAGTTTTGACCCTGCTGTCTTGTCTTGAGCATGATTACGCAGAAGAGTGTTTGTGTTCTTTATTAAAATAATTAAGCAATCAAGTCATTTATGTAAAAAAATGCATAGCTGTTCAAAGTCTGTAATCGTGAGAAGTCTTATGTGGTTGTATGTTTTAGATTCATGCAACAGGTGTGTGTCACACTGACGCCTACACTCTGAGTGGAAGTGACCCTGAGGGCTTGTTTCCTGTCATCCTGGGTCACGAGGGGGCAGGCACTGTTGAGAGTGTTGGCGAAGGGGTCACCAAAATCGAACCAGGCATGTCAAAATGGACTATTTACCCTCTTTAACGTGTAAAATGTGAGCAGTTTTTGGAGTTATGCAGAAATCCTGAAGTTCTTTTACTTTTTGTGAAGGCGATACTGTTATTCCGCTGTATGTACCCCAATGTGGAGAGTGCAAGTTTTGTAAAAATCCTAAAACCAACCTGTGTCAGAAAATCAGGTAATAATGAATATCATTTCATTATCATTTTCCTTCGTGAAAATACACTACTGTTTAAAAGTTGGGGTCAGTAAGAGTTCAATAAATATTCATTTATTCAGCAAGGACACATTGGAAGAAAAAAAAAATTACAAAAAAACATAAGTCTTAAAAAAAACAATTTAAGTTAGCTCAATTTTAACTATTTAAGTTATTTTAAGCAATGCTGTTCTTTTGAACTTTTTTTATTCATCAAAGAATCCTAAAAAAATATCAAGGTTTCACAAAAATATTACGCAGCACAACTGTTTCCAACATTTCCAACAAATCAGCATGTTAAAATTATTTCTGAAGGATCATGTGACACTGAAGACTGGAGTGGTGACTGCTGGAAATGTTTGCCATCACAGGAATAAATCACATTTTATAATATATTAAAATAGAAAAAGGTTATGTTAAATTGTATTATTTTTTTTTTTTACTGTATTTTTGATCAAACAAATGCAGCCTTGGTGAGCAGAAGAGTCCAACCCCAAACTTTTGAACGGTAGCATAGGCCTTTTTATCGTTCATGCTAACTGAAATAGTTTGGTCTGTAGATACTTAGTTGTAATGTCATTTTTTTTAGGGTGACCCAAGGTCAGGGTCTGATGCCTGATAAGACCTCCAGGTTCACATGTAAAGGAAAGCAGCTTTTCCACTTCATGGGTACTAGCACCTTCTCTGAATACACTGTGGTGGCTGAAATCTCTCTGGCCAAAGTGGATGAAAATGCCCCCCTGGACAAAGTGTGTCTGCTGGGCTGTGGCATCTCCACTGGATATGGTGCTGCTATCAATACTGCTAAGGTCTGTTTTGATTGATTAATGTGCATTTCTTTACATTTTGCTGCCTCAAAATGTCTTATGAATTTGTATTCACCCTGCCAGGTTGAGGCCGGCTCTACATGTGCTGTGTTCGGTTTGGGAGCAGTGGGGCTTGCAGTCATAATGGGCTGCAAGTCAGTTGGCGCCACCAGGATCATTGGCATTGACATCAACCCAGACAAGTTTGAAATTGCCAAGAAGTTTGGAGCCACTGAGTTTGTGAACCCCAAGGACCACAGCAAGCCCATCCAGGAAGTGCTGGTGGAGCTGACAGATGGAGGAGTTGACTACTCCTTCGAATGCATTGGCAATGTTGGCATTATGGTGAGCTGCAGAAACATCAGCCATTTAGTTAAGGATGAACAAAAGCTGGCAAATACAGCCACCCAGCTGTGTACTGCTTCATTGAAGTCGGCAGTGTTCCTCAGAATATTTGCTTCCATGGTAACATGGTAATCATCACTATTTGTATTAATGCGAAGTGCATAATTGCCCTATGGTTTTATACAGCTTTAGGTTCAGGATGAACATTATTGTTGCCATGTTTATTGTTGTCATGTTTGAATTCAGAGAGCTGCTCTTGAGGCTTGTCACAAAGGCTGGGGAACCAGTGTCATCATTGGTGTGGCAGGAGCAGGGCAAGAAATCTCCACCCGCCCCTTTCAGCTGGTCACAGGGCGCACATGGAAAGGCACAGCTTTTGGTGGTGGGGATTTTATTTTATTTTTCATTGCTTTTATATTATTTTTTGTATTTTAGTTTTTTATAATAATAATAATATCACTTTTATTATTTGTATTTTTTATGTATTTATTGATTTGTTTTTCAATTTATAATTTTTATATTTGATACTATATACATTTTAGTATATATAATTATTATTTTGTTGTTTTTTCTTATTGTTCTATTTTATTTATTATTATTATTATTAATAATACACTTTTATAATAGAATGTTACCATTTACAAATTACATATAGCATATCAATTATGATATGCCGGGCAGTTCACTTCATAAGAGAAGGATTCTTTTCTCTGTCTTTCAGGTTGGAAGAGTTTGGAGAGTGTCCCTAAGCTAGTGAATGACTACATGAATAAGAAGCTGATGGTGGATGAGTTTGTTACTCACACATTGCCCTTTGCCCAGATCAATGAGGCCTTTGACCTGATGCATGCTGGGAAGAGGTACATACCTTATAGCATGCCTGTTTTTATCTGGTGCTATCTGCAATGTCATATTAATGCTATAGGGGGAACAAATTGGTGTCTAAATGCAAACTTTCTTTTGTGTGTCTTCCACAGTATCCGAACCGTCCTGCAGCTTTAAGCCTCAAGTTCAAACATGAGTCCTAACTGCCTTGTCCTGCCATGAAACAAACATACTAATCATTAACACCCTTGTCTCAGTAGTTACTGTGCTGGCTGTTGTGTTAGAGGCTGTTCTGATAATGGTTATTGGTGTGTAGCATTTGTTACACACTGAATAAATGTGATTACCAATCTCTCTCTCTTTTTTTTTAATAGTCAAAATATTAATGGCTTGATATATTCTGTTGTATGTATAAAACTTGAATGTGTGCATTTCAAATCATAGAAATTGACCAAGTAAATGATTTGGTTAATATAAAGCTGTGTTGCAAACAATTCAGTTGATCACATAATGGTAAAATTATAATTGAATTAAATATTATTTTCCCTGATACATTCTACACTGTGATAGAAAATGTAAAAATACACAGATGATCCATTTATTATACTATATGCGTAAATAAAGCACTTAAAAGGTTTTGAAGTATTCATGAATCATAAAGTGACATGCATGATTCAGATCCCTTTACAGCGGGAGTCCATTTCTCTCGGTGTCCTCTAGGGGCCGCTGTCCAGACGCGCGCTACTCGTTGACTCATGTGCTCGGTTGAGTTTGGCCAATCAAATGGTGTTTTCACACACGGAAAGACCCTTCACGTTTGTAGAAGATGGCGACTGCTGAACCGGTGAGTCAATATAAGTGCTCTTACAAACATTTTTGTGATGACACCAGTGGTAGTTATTAATGTTAAATACGTGTTTCATTTTGTTCAGGGATTTTATCGAAGCTAATCTGAATCACTGTTGCTGTGGAGTAATATCTCACAGCAGACGGTCAAGTGAGCTCATGTGTCTCACTGTCGCACATATGCGTTTGAAAGATATTGTGCAAAAGTGTTAAATAAGTTATGTTTTTTTTATCTGAAGAGGAGGGCTGTGAGAATATTTGAGGTTTTCTTTTAAAGTTGAAGATGTCTGTTGAACCTTATCTGTTTCTGTAATGTAGACTCGTGTTTTGCTGATGTTTCAATGAAAATATGGATAATGTGATTTGTTTGTTTTCAGTCTTTGTATGGCCTGTATTGTCACTGTAAAAATAAAATGATACTTAAGGGAACCATTTCCTCAGACAGCCTTTGGTGAAATTGTATGTACATTTTCAGAAAGGGCAGTTTTCTGAGAAACTTTAATACGGATCCATAACTTCCTGCCAAAGTTTTCATAAATATCCACCATTCCTCCAGTAACCATGTCATAAGATAAGACTTGAAAAATATATTTACGTTCCTTGAGTATGCAGCAATATATTAAATAAAGGTGCCTGGGTTTTTTTAGAGGGTTTTGCCAGGTTTGCAATCTTAAGAACCAAAATAGTGGTGTCAGTTTGTTTATTTATTTATATATTTTTTATTTATTTATAGTTTTTATATAGTTCTGGTGATAGGTATTGGAATAAGTAAAGCAAATGTAAAATTGTTTATCATTAGTAAAAGTAATAGCACCTTGAAGTAATAAATGCACCTTAACTATTTTATGAATTGTCCTGAGGCAATATATATAATATTTACTCTAACACAGTGGGGCCTCAGCAAACTTCCAAGATGACTTCCAATGATTTCAAATAGGACAAAACAATATATACTGAGGGTTCCTCTTTTTAAAAGTGTGACTTCTAGACTTGGAAAAGTCATGTAAAGTAATTCTAATAACTCATACTGAAATTAATTTTTCTAAGTTAATGCCAAGCTATAAGTATTACGTTGAGTAGAAATTTTGGGTACAAATATTTTTTTAAATCCTAAATTTGAATAATAGTAGACCACAAACGGCTGAAAAAGTCCAATGAATATTGTTGCAGTCAGTTGCATTGGAGTCCAAAATGTCAAGAACCTCTTCTCTTAAAAAAAAAAAAAAAAAAAGGCATTTTCTTTGAAATGTCACATTCAGCGTGCAAAACTTAAGATGAAAATAATGGAAATATAATAAATTGTTCTTTTCTTGTAGGAAACTCCAACAAATCCAACAAATTCAGAAGAAGAAAAAAAACGACGAAAATAAGCAAGAGATAGTGAGTCTTGAAGATTATATTAAACATCCTCTGCAGAACAGGTAAAGCCACCCAGGCCACACACATTTCATGTTTTGTGTGGGTGTGTGTGTGTTCCCTAAGTATCTAGGGTTATTTTCTTTTGGCAGATGGGCTCTTTGGTTCTTTAAAAATGACAAAAGCAAAACATGGCAAGCTAATCTCCGTCTCATCTCAAAGTTTGACACAGTGGAAGACTTCTGGGCGTAAGTAATAATGAGAGAATTGAAATGACACAGACAGCATAAAGACTGCGAGTTGTAAGCAACACTGTGGCACTAACAGGTTTTGATGTTCTTTCCCAGGTTATACAATCACATTCAGTTATCAAGTAACTTAATATCAGGATGTGACTACTCCCTCTTCAAGGTAAGCCACGATATAGCATTACAGCATGATGCAAATAATTTTGAGTTCATCTAAATTGATCCGTGTGCTCTTTTTGGAGCAGGATGGCATTGAGCCCTTGTGGGAAGATGAGAGAAACAAGCAGGGCGGCCGCTGGCTGATCACCCTGTCCAAACAGCAGCGCAGAGCCGACCTGGACCGCTTCTGGTTGGAGACGGTAAGTCTATACTCCAGTCGGTTTAACTGCATTAGCTGCAAAATGTATACTGTATTTGTGGATCATAAAGGCTTAGATGTTCTTTTTCTCTCAATTCTGGTTTCATTTTTCAGCTTTTGTGCCTTGTGGGAGAAGCGTTTGATGACCACAGTGATGATGTCTGTGGTGCTGTCGTCAACATCCGAACAAAGGGAGACAAAATAGCGATATGGACGACAGACTACGAGAACAAAGATGCTATTATACACATAGGGTAAAAATCATTCAGTCCACTTAAACCCTTCAAGCTCGTGTTCATCTGCCCAACACCCACATCTCAATCAAAACCTATGCATAGAACCAAGTCCCAGCACTACCTTTTTTCCTTTTCCGATAATCTGTAACACTTGGATGTATATCACAATACAGAAGAAAAATACTGCTGCTACTTGCGTTTCAGTGTGACTTTAATTTTCGCTTTCTTTTCATTTGTGGTTATTAGGTAGAGCACTAGGTAGATTATTGCCAACTTTACACTGCAAAGGTGGCACAGAAGGGCTTCTGAAGTGGCATGTATTTGCCCAGACTGTTTAATGCTGCTCAGAGGGGTGGAATACATGCATTTGCAATTACAACTTTATATGTTGATACTAGGGGCTGAGATAGGTCTGCGTAATTTATTCTGGCTATTATGCGGCATTGTGCCTTAACACTGAATTTTCAGCAGGAACAGAGCAGACTTAACCCTGAACCTAATGTTACTTCTTGAATATATTTGTAAATTTGCATTTATTTGTCTATTCACAGGCGTGTGTATAAGGAAAGATTAGGTGTGCCTCCAAAAGTCATCATTGGATACCAGTCACATGGGGACAGCCACCAAAAGTGGTTCCACCACCAAGAATAAGTTTGTTGTTTAAGGAGCCTTTTAAACAGTGGGTATTTTTGATAGTTCTTTTTAAACTTTCATATCATTATTTTGATATTAAATATCCTCTCTTAAATTGTTCATGCTATAATTTCATTTCAGATGCTGCAACAACGGTCAGAAACTTTTATCAAATTCAAATCTTCATCAGAAGAGACAGACAGACAGACGAGAACAAAACTGACCTGGGATCTGACCTTTCGCAGGATGCTGTGGGGGAAACACTAGGAAATTAAAGGCCTTCAGATTTGTAGATGGAAGGGTTTAATCAGAGGAATATTATATTTACGAAACTGTACAGTGTATAAAAACAGAGCCACGTTCTTTTTTTTATGTCAGCATACTATTAACTGATCTTTTGCTGGTGGGGATGGGAAGTGTATTCAATTCAATTTATGAATATTTTTCTTTCATATTGTTTGCCTTTTTATGTTGTTGCAGTTACTAAATCGTAAGTGTAGTTTATTTATTTTTTACTTAGACATTTACACTTCTGCTTTGGATTTAGTGTTTAAGTGATTTGGACAGTAAACATCATGATATTTCTAATTACACTATTCAGATACTTCTTGTATTGCAGCTTGAGAATATCAAAGGTTGATTCTGTTCAAAGACTGTTGTATAAATGTGTATTTTTGCAGTCTTGTTTTACATTCCTTATGCAAAATGTTCAAGGCAGTATTGATAACTGATCTCTGGTTCTTACCTTTTCCTAAGGGGTTTCATTGAGTAGCCTGAATTCTTTGTAACAAAAAATAATAGAAGCACTTTCTTGAACATGGGTGCTTATAAAAAATGAATGTAAATAAAATTTACAATGCATTGTCGATACCCAGTGAAGAGCCTCTGAAATGCATCTGTTGATGATAAATAAATAATCCTCTGAGATTCTTGAGATGTGGGAACCATTTTCTCATTCCAGTAGAAGCTTATAACCCATGTAGCTAAATGTATTAGCTTCCCTTTGCTCATAAATGTAGTTTTATGTCCTTTTGTTAATCATCTATGATGAAAAAGAATGCTCTTTTGCCAGACCAATATTTAAGTGTACTGTATATCTTAAATGCAGCTATACAACTTGAAAATCACCTAGTAATTATGTAGTATTGGAAATGAATGAAAAATGTTCAGCACACTTGCTTTAATGCTGTTTGTTAAAGAATACCAGAGTATTCACACCGTGCTGTACATTAACGCTAGGCTGTATATTAGATTTAAATAGCTTAGAAAGAACTACGATTTCTTCGTACTATTCTTGACCATAAAAATAATTAAGGCGACTGAAAAAAACAAAAGTACTCTTGTGCCACTTAAAGTTCGACATCCTCACTCTTTCAGTTGCTCTTGAGGCCAATTTCTGAAAGCAGCTTGATCTGGATTGCCTACAGACTGAGTTGGATCTTCCTCCACAGGCTCAAGATGATGATCCAAAGTACTCTCAGATAACACAGAAGGTGTCCTGCTCCGGGCATGTCTGGGTCCGTCCTCCTGGAAATGCGACAGGCCTTTGGTATGATAACTAGGACTGGGGCTGGCAGAGGACAGGGTTCTCTGGCTCCCATTTAGGTAACTACCATAGTTCACAGAGTCCTTTGAGTCCTGCCGTGAGTAGAAGGAGTTGATGTGCGAGCCCT